CTCCTGGTGGAACATAATTAAACATTGAGATTATTGTTGCATTAAGAGACGAATAAAGCGTCTCTTGTAGAGGAAGACGAGGACAAGGTCCTACAAAACAGATTAAAACCGAAACAGAGTGAGAGAGTTTGAAGGAGCTACAGGCCTCAGCATCTGCATACGCAGCTGTTACCATTGTCATAATCTCCTGATCCAGTTGATTGAAAATATGACAAATGAAAACAAAAATGTAGCAAGTTTGAAGGAGCTACCAGCTGCTGCATCTACATGTACCACCATTGCCAATTCCACACAATCAATTCTATGAACACATTTTTCTACAGAAAGACTTCCTGTGAATCCTTTGATACCTTGTGAATATCCTCTAGATCACCCTCCTCCTCTCCAACAACAAACTATTCAGCCAAAGATCCTGATGTAATCATCACTCTGGCTTTTAACAGGCACCCCTATACAACCAATTACCTTTGATTGGAACATTGTCACATTTTTGACCTAGCAGATGTAACATTGACTGACAAAATTCTTCTGCTAGTTGTGAGGACTCTTATTTTACTCCTTCCTGCAGGGAGACCCCAACGTTCCTGCAGGGCAACTCACTTTGGATGTTGACCTGACCCGACCTGTGGTCCTCCCCGACTTGGAGCAACAGCGAAACATAGAGGAGCTGTCCCGGCTGGTACTGGGGGTACACGAGGAAGTACAGAGAGAAGCAGAACAACAGGCCAAGGGCACTTTGGCCACAGGCAGAAGTGCAGCAGAGGCGGGCTGTGGTGGTGCCAGTGCAGAAGAAGGGATGGAGGCAGACCACGGTGTCTGTTTAGACAGCTGTCAGCCTGGCCCCAGCACCACTACCACCAGCCCCCCTGAACCCAAGCCCTTCGTTCTGCCCCTGGGGGTTATGGCTCGCAATGAGGTGTACCCTCGCACCTGCAGGGAATGGTAAGAACTCTGCAAAAAGGACATGGAAAATGAATACAGTGTAAACTCCACAGTGTACAGGTGGATTGTAGCTGCCTTTGCCCCAGTAACAGTGGTATTAGACACAGTGTGCTTATTGCTCTTGAGCTGGTTTAAGTTTGATCGTTGGCCAACAGGCTGACATCATACCAGTCTCTAATAAATGCATGTCAGTGCAGGTTGAATGTTGGCTGAACAACCGAATTCACTTTTTTTATGTTAGATTATTTAATTTACCATATAAATAAGAATGAATAACAATAACAAATTACTGCAAATTTAAAAAATATATCTTATTCGAATCTGCATTAATTATAAAATAATATTCATCAATAATTATTAATTATAAATTGTTAAAGTAAAATACTATATAACTATGACCTGTTATTTGTATTTTCTGTACTGTTTGTTAGAACAGAGTTTGTAACCCATTGATCTTGATATCCATCCAAATATTGATTAATTGATGTTCCTCTATTTCAGCTTCTATGGAACAGGCCTGATCGCTGGGCACGGCTTTACAAGTCCAGAGCGCACGCCGGGGCTCTTTGTGCTGTTTGATCAGGACCGTTTTGGTTTCATCTGGCTGGAGTTGAAGTCTTTCAGTCTGTACAGTCGCCTGACGGACCACCTAGCCCATGCTCACGCCCCAAACATGGAGCGGTTTGAGGCCATGCTGCGCAACATGCAGTCCTGGACATCCTGATGCACCACACTTTAAGTCTCCTCCCACAATACAACGCATAATAACAACCATCATAACAACCATCATAAAACGAATCACCTCTGTCCTCCACTGACAACGTTACTATTGTGATAGCATCATGACCTTAACTCAGTTTCTATCTTTATCTGTTTCACAAACATTGGGTTTTACTGTCTAATTAAGCTGGTTTTATCACCCCAAGCACTTTCAAAGGCCCCCAAGTCACCATTGAATCACCTCACCTCAGTATGACCTTAATCCTCCAGTGCAGCATGAGAACAGGTCACATTGACATTTTTTTATTTATTTATTTATTCCCTTCAGGAAAAAAGGAACGATATTTCATACCACTTATTATGGATCAAACTGTACGTGCCTCTGATTCTAAAACCATGTCTGTACTTGGTAGTGCTTGAAGAAGAAAAAGGTGTCCAGTGTATTATACTATATAGTATTATACTGATTTTAGTGCCCAACATATTGAACTGCATGCTGCATTTTTTTATTTTATTCTATAAATCTAATCACATTACACTCATAACCATTATCTGAACATGATGTTTTGTTTCCATTAAGCAGCATGCCTTGCTTTTTAGGGTTTATTTTCTTCATCCAAATTTTAAAAAAAGACAGCATCTCAGGTGTTTTTCTCTTTGCCACTTGTCAGTAAAAAACAGGACGAAGTATTTATGTGTATAACAAAAATGTGTGAAGTAAAATTCATTGTATTAATTTGTCAAATAGAAATACTGGGCAATTTTCTAATCATTGACGAGAGGATTTGCTGTCTTATCAAATACTGTAGCTACATCAGCCAGTCTTGGGCAGACTGATATGTTTTTGCCCTTTGAACTTAAAGGTGCGGTCATTCTGAACAAAGATAGTCGACGGTTGAGTCTCATTTCTAGGTCGTCAAATATGAACACTTTGGGTTATGGTAAAGGGGAAAGAAGGTAGTAAAATACTGCCCCTTTGGGTTGCTAAAGATTTGGTGTTGGTAATGAGACTCAACAATCAACTATCTTTCTCCAGAATGACTGACCCTGCCTTTAAGAGATATGTTTTTCAGGGATACTCAACTTGCTTTGCCCAGAGGTAATTTTTGCAAAATGACAGGGGGCCAGTGGCTTAATTAACAACAATAAACAAGCTCTGATTATATTTATCAGGTAAAATGAACAAGCATTATGATTGTTGTTTCGGCAGAATAAGACAACTCTTGGCTTGCAGTTCTACCAGGTGGTAACGCTGCACTGAAGGTAGTATGTTTTGACTGACATGAGCAACCTTGCATACAGCAGTTGCCTTTTAGACACATTTACCGAGGGATTAGAATTGGTATTAGGTGGCAAAATAAGAGCCTTCTGTCAATTTTTTCATTGAATTGCCTGTTTTCATTATCAACCTTTCGGTGTTTGCTGTCCTCACTCTTCTTTGCCAACAGGCCAATTCAGTTGCAGTAGCCCTGTGAAGTTCAGAAACCAAGTGACAGCTTCCGCACACTGCACAGATTGCTTATATCGGTATGCAACCTCCCTAGTAACAGCCAAGGGACAATACTGAACATTTTTTATTTTCATTGTGTATTAGAAAATGTTTGGCTGGCCACCCAGCACCCTATCTGGCCTGCGGGCCTTAAGTTGAGTATCACTGTTCTACATCAAACATACTTTAATGTCTCCACACCTGACATATTATGTGAGTTGGAAAGATGTATTGTACTGCAATAGAATAACATAACCTTTACAGAAGCTGGATTTAATGAAAAGTATACAGTTTATGTGCTTATATCATTCTGATCTGAAACATAAACTCTGAAATGTATCGCATTTGTTGTTTGCATATGACGTATGCCTGGCTTTATACCTGCAAAAGCTATTCCCTCCAGTTTACCAATTGATTTCAAACTTGAGACCAGGCTAGCTGAACATTATACAAACAGCTCAAAGTGCATCTCAAAGTACCAAGTTAAGTGTCTGTATGTCTCATTACGGCCTGGTGGTGATGCCCAGTAGCTTTCCTACTCCAAGTGCACTTTTCTGGGCAGTATAGTGAATCATTCAAAACCACTGGCCAGCACTTTTATATCAGACTGCAGCTTTACTAACATTTGCAAAAAATAAATAGTGTCTGCTAAAGCATCATAAACTTATTTTAGCACATTCAATTCATATTCTTTCAAATTTAGTACATTTGCTTTATACATTATTCTATCTGTAAGCCCTCTGTATCCAGCTATTTGAATGATTTGCTTTTGCAAAATGTTGCTTTGTACTATTTTCAATGTCATACGCCTGATTTTGTGGAAAAACAACTAAGTTTGCCCTTTTGAACTACTCACATCGGACTTCAGGGAGCTTTTCAGCTTAAGCGCTCTTCTCAGTAATAACAAATACAAAACTGAAAAGAACCTTTTTGTCAAATTTATTTATGTCTTTCTATGGTTTGTATGAGCATCTCATTGTAAGTAAACTGTTCTCAACTATCACCTGAAATGATTATCTCCTTTCACTGCTGTTTTATTGCCACAGTGGAATATTGATTATAATACAGTAATATACCAATACAACTCAATAGAGCATAGAGCACAAACTCATACTGTCTATGTGACTGGAGGGTGAACTTGTTAGACAATATTGAGTCAGGTACATACAAAGGTATTAGAAAATCTATATGAATGGTTTCACAACAGCTTCAAAAGATTTTTAATTTATTTTGGAATCAAGATCATTAAAAAGGTATTAAATGTGTGGCCTAACTTAACTCAGTAGTAGTATCATCATGTCATTTAAGATGCCCTTCTACTACATATTTCCTTTTGGGCTTTTCAATTTTAAAGTCTAAGTTTTTAAGTTAAGTTGTGGAACTGGACAATTCTCACAATGTGTGATGTTTGTATAGGCTACAAAAAGTACTACAAAAGTTTGTTAAAATATTTATTACAATTTTGTTATCTCATTATGTTTAACAATAATTTCACAGTATGTCTAATGCATTTCTGGTTGACTTGTTTGTGGTTTAAAATGGAATCATTAAAAAAAAAAATATGAAAAGAGAAAGTGACTGTTCTACAACTCGCTGTGTTCCTTTTTATATTGTTGGACCTTCTGCGGTAGGGTCTGAGTCATGAAGACGAAGCGGTCCTTCTTCAAGTGCTGACCAACTGCCTGCTCCTTCGTACCAATTTCCAAGTAGTATTCTTCTGCTCCATACTTTGGCCAGTGTACAAGACCGTTCCCATTAGGAGACCTGCACACATGCACACACACACACACACACACACACACACAATATTTAAACAGGTTTGTCTTAACTCCATGTGTACTATAACTTATATTGAGGGTTAATTTCTACCCTGTGTGAGCGAAGTTGCCCCAGTAGCTCATAACGACTTTGCTCAACTGCTCCTCCTCTTCAGGACATGCACCTTAAATAATAATAAAAATCTGGTAAACAGAGAAAATCTCTGGTGGGCTGTTGAAATTGTGATTTTTATATTGCACTTACTGGTTATTGTGACATGGGAAGTTGTGAAGCAGAATCCAAATACAGTAAAGAGTTCATCTCCATGGTCACTCCCAACAAAATTTGGCCTTTTTTTGAAATGGCGACAGCCCGAGCGTGAAAGCGGTGGCCCGCGCGAAGTCTGTCCCTGTCCTGTGTACGCTCCCACAGTGATTCACTCGTGTTGCAATGCTGCCACGCTTGTGTGGAGCTTCAAGGGTGCGTTAGGAATGTCAGAATCAGTAATTGGAGCTGATCGAATAGGAACAAACGTAAGTCAACAAAACATGAACGATTTTGGGGCGTGAGTTTAACATAACTTGGGCTCCGGTGGCAGTTTGTTTAATTTTTCTTCAATAGACAAACTAGGACTTTCTATACAGGGATAAGGATTAATTAAAAAAATTAACTGATTGAAATTGGTGCGCAGGATGCAGGCGCGTGTATGTTAGAGTGACATTGTGTGGTAGCAAACTTTTTTAGTTCAATTAATGTGTTTATTAAGTAACATTATTCATTGCAGCCATTTTGGTGATTCAAAGTAACACTCAGAGTGGGAAAGAGCATGTTCAAACTTGTGCAGAGCTGCATAGCTGCACTTTCTGAGTTCAAGCTGTGACCAACTGGATGCAGTGTATGCAAAATGCAGCGTAAAGATTCTGAGTTGGTTAACCGTTAACATTCATATCTCAAGCAATAAGTGTTTACATATAAATCCATGCTGGGTTTTATTTTAAAATGGTTATTTGCCATAATGTTGTTTTTGTGAATTGTTTGTGTGAATCTAAGTCTTCTGCAATCAAACCTCTGGGGTGGAATTAAATGTTATATTGCTGTCGGGAACCCTGGAAAGCAGGGCCGTGGTTAAAATGAATTTAGGGTTGATTGGATGGGGCTTGCAGCATTTACAGCGGAAATACGGCAGGGCTACGTTGTTTTGAGTAAGGTTCGCAAAAGGGAAGGCTGTGAAGGTGCGTGTTGTGGTGCGAGTGATTGGATGGGCACTGCGCTGCATGGTCACGATTCAGTGAACGAGGAAAGCTGCGAAAACACCGGCGTTTAGAGTTCTGGCTCTAATGATGAGCCCCCGTAATTTCCCTGATTTTGGAATGTGCAGGCAACGTGGTTTGGGATTTGCGAGACGGACTTATGATGTGTAAGAAACGTTACTGCTGAGCCGCGTGTTTAGTCAGTATCAAGGTTCGGTCAAAGTTGCTGGTTTTCCAAGCTGGTTTATGGAAAATTATACATTTTGTTTGCTAAACATTAAACTTTGAAATGTATTGCATTTTTTGTTGTTTGCATATGACGGTTTTGGCCTGGCTTGTATACTTGCAAAATTCCCCTCTGTTGAAATGGCGACAGCCCGAGCGTGAAAGCGGTGGCCCGCGCGAAGTCTGTCCCTGTCCTGTGTACGCTCCCACAGTGATTCACTCGTGTTGCAATGCTGCCACGCTTGTGTGGAGCTTCAAGGGTGCGTTAGGAATGTCAGAATCAGTAATTGGAGCTGATCGAATAGGAACAAACGTAAGTCAACAAAACATGAACGATTTTGGGGCGTGAGTTTAACATAACTTGGGCTCCGGTGGCAGTTTGTTTAATTTTTCTTCAATAGACAAACTAGGACTTTCTATACAGGGATAAGGATTAATTAAAAAAATTAACTGATTGAAATTGGTGCGCAGGATGCAGGCGCGTGTATGTTAGAGTGACATTGTGTGGTAGCAAACTTTTTTAGTTCAATTAATGTGTTTATTAAGTAACATTATTCATTGCAGCCATTTTGGTGATTCAAAGTAACACTCAGAGTGGGAAAGAGCATGTTCAAACTTGTGCAGAGCTGCATAGCTGCACTTTCTGAGTTCAAGCTGTGACCAACTGGATGCAGTGTATGCAAAATGCAGCGTAAAGATTCTGAGTTGGTTAACCGTTAACATTCATATCTCAAGCAATAAGTGTTTACATATAAATCCATGCTGGGTTTTATTTTAAAATGGTTATTTGCCATAATGTTGTTTTTGTGAATTGTTTGTGTGAATCTAAGTCTTCTGCAATCAAACCTCTGGGGTGGAATTAAATGTTATATTGCTGTCGGGAACCCTGGAAAGCAGGGCCGTGGTTAAAATGAATTTAGGGTTGATTGGATGGGGCTTGCAGCATTTACAGCGGAAATACGGCAGGGCTACGTTGTTTTGAGTAAGGTTCGCAAAAGGGAAGGCTGTGAAGGTGCGTGTTGTGGTGCGAGTGATTGGATGGGCACTGCGCTGCATGGTCACGATTCAGTGAACGAGGAAAGCTGCGAAAACACCGGCGTTTAGAGTTCTGGCTCTAATGATGAGCCCCCGTAATTTCCCTGATTTTGGAATGTGCAGGCAACGTGGTTTGGGATTTGCGAGACGGACTTATGATGTGTAAGAAACGTTACTGCTGAGCCGCGTGTTTAGTCAGTATCAAGGTTCGGTCAAAGTTGCTGGTTTTCCAAGCTGGTTTATGGAAAATTATACATTTTGTTTGCTAAACATTAAACTTTGAAATGTATTGCATTTTTTGTTGTTTGCATATGACGGTTTTGGCCTGGCTTGTATACTTGCAAAATTCCCCTCTGTCCATTGCAGCAGTGCCACTCTCAGCAATGGCATGGTGAAACAGGCCATCAGACAATGGAGAGAGAAGCTGTTGATTCAAGCGGCAGAAAAAAATGAAAGGTTCAGTGGAGAGCGGTATCTTTGCAGTGACAATACTGTGCTTTCTATCTGCAGACTGATCCTTACCAGAAGGGATACACTCATTCCACCAGCAGACTCCCCAAATATGGTAACTAAATCTGGGTCTCCTCCAAAGTTGTGAATGTGCTCCTTGGTCCACCTCAGAGCTTGTACCTGGTCCAGCAGGCCAAAGTTCCCGGGCATGTGTTCATCTGCGGTGCTGAATAGAACATTACAGCAACTAGTTAAAGTGACTCCAAATTTGAATTTTTGTTCATTTGCAATAGATCAGTTCAAAAGAATTGGAACATAATCATAGTATGTTCATTCTAACTGTGCTTAGTGAATTGAGTCTTTTTACCTGAGAAAGCCAAGAAGTCCCAAGCGGTACTGGATCAGAACCACAACAACATCCTGGTATGCAGCCAGGGCAGAGCCATCATATATAACTGACCCAAAGAAACCCTCCCCCATGATCCAGACCATAACCCTGGTAAGGTAATGAAAGACAAAGCGTAAAATGGTATTTTTTAACTTTTTTCTAACTGATGAAGACAAATTGGGTAGCAAAGCTTTCTTACTGGTAGTTTGGCATTGGGAGCTCTGTTTGCTGGAGTATAAATATTGAGGTAAAGGCAGTCTTCTGAAATGTCTGGGATTTCTACCAACATGTCACCGAGTTTATCAAGCAGATCTATGGTAAACTGTTTATGTTGAACACACCTGAAAAAGAGACATGTTTTAGTGTTAAGTATGGGCATTGTTTCTCAAAGTGTGGTATCACATCAATGCCTTACATGAGTGGTTGCTTGGTGGCGTCCCTCACTCCTTCCCATCCCTCTACAGGCTGAGGTGCAGCCAGTCTCAGAGCAGGGCCTACAGGTGGCTTGGCAAATGGGACACCCAGGTAGGCGTGGACCCCAGTCTCCTTCCCCTTTACGCTCACATATTCACCTCTCAGGCTGCCCAGCTTTGTGTGGACTTCAGGTGCTGTTAGCTTTCAGAATCATAATGTGACACTTAATCACAATTTATCAATTCAATTTCCATTACTAGTTCAAATAACAAATGTAGTTCCTCCAAATACGTAACATGCGGTTGTCGGATGGTTGTAGCATACTGTATGTTGCAACTGAAAAGGGTTAGAAAATACAACAACTTTCCATTTGACTTCAGCCGTGTTGAGCAATGTGAAAGACTCCAGTGTTTGCCATGTTATTTGATCAACTAACAATCGGGTACTGAAACAAATAGTTGATTAATTATTAGTTGATCGATAGAAAACTAATCAACAAAATGTTAATACATTTTGGGCTGATTGTAACAACTTGGGCTCTGGGGCAGTTTTTAAATTTTCCACGAGACAAACTAGACTTTTATACAGTTAATGATTCATTTAAAAATTACTGACTGATTAATTGTTAATGCAAATCATTATTCGTTGCAGATCTATAAATGACATTATGGTAGCATATGTTTTACTTTAATACATTATTCATGCAGATCATTTGGTGGATCAAGTTAAACTGAAGTGGAAAACATTTCAAACTTGTGCAGAGCTGCAGAGCTGCACCCTGCAGCCTAGATTCTGAGTGTGTTAACCATTAACATCATATCTCAACAATAAGTGGTTTACATATAAATTTCGTGCTGGGTTTATTTAAAATGGGTTATTTGCCATAATGGTTGCTTTGTATATTGTGTTGATCTAATCTCTGCAATCAACCTGGTGAATTAATGTTATTGCTATATAAATAATGGGTAAAACTAATATATATATAGGCCTATATATATATATATATATATATATATATAAAGACCAAGGTTGTAAAAAGAATAGAAAGTCAAAAAGGGTTTTTCCTGAAAGAAGATGATGCATCACATTGCTCCATTCTGGCAATTTTACACCACAATGAGTATGATATCTGCTTATTCATCTACAGTAATTCTCATAGTCATGTTATTCTGCACAATGACCAGTATGCTCTGTAGGTCAAAGGTAACCTAGACCAAGTTAACAAGAATGCAGCCCAGTAATAGATGCATTTCAAATAAAGGGATATACTGTAGCTATAATAGATCTATGTTGTTATTAAGATTAATAACATCTAACTGTGCATCTGTACATCTAATCACATCTAAAAGAAAAGCAACGTATGCTATCTGTGGTCGCCTATGTCAATGTGTCAATACAGTAGTTTGGTCCTACTTACCATGTAGCTCTGCAGCCACAAGAAGAAATAAAACAGACGCTAGAAAAACGGAAGTTTGCTTCGCACGGAACTTCATGGTGGCCGTTCTCTGTGCTGACTGCGACTCACTGCTCGTTTCTGCAGGAGAGGAAGAGTTTAAACGCTGCGAAGCTTCAGCCCTTTATAACTAGGACCGAGCTATTGCTGCACTCAGTAATATTACGTCATTTATGGCACGAGTCATTGTGTGTTACACCACAGCGACAGGTGATCTAGGCTGTCTACACACTGGTTCAGTGGTCACAGTGGGTCAAAGTGTTTTCCCATGAGAAGTTTCTATTATCTGTGCTTCTGAAAAACTAAAACATGACATTAGACTTGTCTAATATTTTGTTTGCACTACAGAACAACTTCTCTAATGAGCCGTCAGTGGCTCTTGGGAACTGAGAGTACCAATAGTCTTGAGTACCAATAGGTGGTACTCTTAGTTACCAAAGCTGAGTCCTGCTGCTGGACGGGTTCCACCACGGGTTCAAGTCCGACCTTTGGCCCCTCGCTGCGCCTCACCCCATCACTCTCCCCCATTTCAGCTATCTCTATCAATTAAAAGGCAATAAAAAAGTACCAATGTCCATTACTGTTGCACCTGGCCAGAGAAACCAAGATAACCCCTGACATAAGTTTGGAAAAATGTTAGAAGGGTGAATGCACACAAGTATATTCCCTGTGTATTTTATAATGTGACTGCGTGCAAAGTGATTAGGTGTGTGTGTTTTCAGTATTGATGAATTTGGGTACTGGGTTAAATCCAAGGCACAAAACCTCAACTTGTGAATTTGAGGATACAGCTGAAAAGTGTACTGCCAGAGACGGTTATACAATGACAGATTTGAACCTAAAAGCTACCTTCAAAAAGTCTATTAGGATAAATAGTCTAAAACATTCAGATCGATTGCCTCTCTCCAAGCCTTAATGTTCTGAAAGCAAATTTCATGCAGAAATGAAAAATACATACTTTGCTTTAGAGTTGCTTTAATGGTTATAGATGTACAGTATAGTATAGCTCCTATTGACACATCAGTCTACCAAAATGTGAGGGTTGAATGCACTGCTAGAGACTTTTGTCTTCAAAGTACATAAAAGTTGAGAAAAAGGTTTGACTCAAAAACCAAAATCTAAATGTTTTGTCATCTGAGGAGCTGGAGTGAATAAATATTGAGTTTACAATAATACTTAATGTTAGTTTTAAATAACTAACAATGGCAATGGAAACTCATAATATTCTTGAATAATTACTATTTATTTTTTATGGACAGCTGCTTGTCAGTCGAGTCGACCAATCAGAAGTCGCTCCACTACCAAGAATTGTGAAAACCAATCACCTTTAATTGCGCCTACCAAGAATTGACCAATCAGGGAGATGATTGCCCTTAAGCCAGCCCTCTTCAGAAATCAACGTTAAGTGCTGAGCACCGCAACTTTTTTCGGATTCACATATTTTGTCAAACTTTCGGTAAGTTCGTCGCCCTTTCTGTTGTCTCTAAGTTGACTCTATGTTATAAGTTTAATCATTTATAAGTTGTGGTTTGCCTACTGTGGCAGGTAGCTGGCATGCTAACAGGCTAACTAACTGTGGAAATGTCTCATGCGCGTAACCTAGCCAGGAAATTTCTAAAACAAATGTCAGTAACATTAGCTCACTAAGTCACTAACAATTCTTCATTGTGAACCAGCTAGCTTTTTCTACCCGCCACTCTGCCCAACAGTTAACTGCCCTGTACAATAACCCTCGGACTATTAATGAAACCATTCATTACTTATTTTCCATTGCTGAAAATTCAGTTTATTTGCATACTCTACTACTATACTGTCATATCCACCTACCCCATGTGGAAGATTGCAAGTAAAATATTTATTTCAGCATCCTTTGCACTCTGCACCATTGCACTGTTTTCTACTGTCTACAGTGTTTGTTTATAGATATGTATAACTGCACATAGAAGTCTTTTTTGTTGAACATGTTCTGTTTATTTATGCTGTTGGTCTGTGTTTGTACATTGCGAGCAATGTCAAATTCTTTGTATTTGCACACATACCTGGCCAATGAAAGTGATTCTGATTCTGATTCTGAAAGCAGGGTTTCCGTACTCTTGGTGAGGGGGCCTGAGAAGCTTCCTGTGGCTGTGCAGAAAAGACCAACTCTGTATTCTGATTGAGTCTCACCTTCTCATCCTGCCACCAAACACTGCTGATGAGGTGAAGCTCGAGGGCAGACTGCAACCCTCAGGTCATATCCCAGACTCCACCGCCATGTAAAGCACTTCCTGTCACTCTCTCTCTCCTATGTTACCATCTGTGCAGCTTCTTACAGTGCATGGACCCTCACAGGTGATGTTCTTCAAACCTCCCATTACCTTCAGCTGTGCCAGCCCTCAACTCAGACGCTGACAGCAAGTCAAGCTGTTACACCACTAAACAATACAGGAAGAGAGAATAGGAGAAAGACCGCTCTGGCACTGTCACATGAAAATATGACGACATTATGTTATCCTGTGCCAAAAGTGCAAGAAAGAAAGAGTCATTGTTTTGTTGATATTGTTATTTATGTTGAACTTTTGTGTTATTGCACTTTTTGCTTTAGGGATGTGTCTTTAAGTCTGGTGGTCTGCACTTTGATGGTCCTATAGCGCCTGCCAGAGGGCAACATATTAAACACGTGGTGTCCAGGATGACAAGGGTTTCATTTAGTTATTTATACATTCAATTATTACACTTTATTTTTATTACTGTTGCTGTTGGTGTTATAATTGATTCAGACATTTCTGTGTTTTGATTTCTTCTTCATTGTCTTATAAAACAATACAAGGATGATAAATAACAATAATTCTACTACTATTTGTCATATTCTTTGTCATCATCCTTAAGTTTGCCTCTGAAATGTACACAGGACTACTTCATATTTCTTTGTTATTTTAGTTGCTGCCATACAAATATACATGATGATAACGAGTTAGGAACGAGTGGGATTCGATACGACGATCTCCGGCACTCAGGCCTCAAGGAACGCCTAAAGGAGTAATGTTAGGTCTTTATCATTGACTGTATATACTACTAAAGTCTCACTATTTCGGGCTTGTGCATTTAATTTTTGTTTGGGCTTGAATGAGCATAAGCACATATTTGTACATGTCTTAAGGGTTCATCAATAATGTCATTTTATCGTGGGTAAAGGGGAAAGTCGCCAGCTTCTTTAGATAGTCTGGGTGGCAGATTTGTATGCTGTCTGACAGTGTTTATCAATTACCGCAAGGTGGTAAGATATAAATGTAGCCGTGTTCTTTTATTCTAAAAAATAAATAAAAAATAAAACACAGAAATTGACCTTTAAATACGTACGTGCTCCTCTTACGCTTTATCTCGGGCCAGTGGCGCAATGGATAA